AAAATCAAAAAGTATTGTACGGTTGTTCGAGCGATTGCACACACACAGGTAAGCCTTATAAATATGCATTAAACTCTATTAGATGCGCCTGATGAAACATCGTCAAAAAAAGTCACATATCATGGAAATCCAAGTAAACGGTGGAACTATTTCACAGAAGGTCGATTGGATTCGTCAACATTTCGAGAAGCAGATTTCTGTTTCAAACGTGTTTTCGCAAGATGAAATGATTGATGTTATAGGTGTAACCAAAGGTAAAGGTTTCAAAGGTGTTACTTCTCGCTGGCACACCAAAAAGCTTCCTCGAAAAACCCACAAAGGTTTGCGCAAAGTAGCATGTATTGGTGCGTGGCATCCTGCACGTGTAGCAAGATCAGTTGCTAGGGCTGGTCAAAAGGGTTACTTCCACAGAACGGAGTTAAATAAAAAGATCTACAGAATTGGAATGGGTAAGTTTTAAATATTTCATATTTTCTGGTAGGCTTACAAGCTCAGTTAGAGGTTGCGAAGGCAGAAGCTTCTAAAGATGATAAGGATAAAAATGCAGTACCGAAACCTAAAGGCAATGCGTCGACAGAGTTCGACTTAACGGCTAAAAACATCACCCCTATGGGTGGTTTCCCACATTACGGTGAAGTCAGGAACGATTATGTCATGATCAAGGGTTGCTGTATGGGTCCCAGAAAGCGTGTCATAACACTTAGGAAAACATTGATCCCTCAAGTTAAGTCGCGATCAAAGGAGAAGATTGTCCTGAAATTTATCGATACATCATCCAAGTTTGGTCATGGTCGGTTCCAGACTCGTGCAGAAAAACAGGCTACTATGGTAGGTCTTTCTAAATATTCGTGTGTAATCTTGGTACTTTTAGGGTCCTTTGAAAAAGTCTCTAGGACGCGCGAAGGTTGTCGCTTGATTAAGATTCCCTACAATAAAATTATGGTAGAAGTTGTTTTTTCTTATTGCTTTATATCAATAGATTGGGTCCACTTTGTATGCGAACTCTGTAAATTAGTGATTTATATAACGGATTGTGGTGTCGTTGCAAGTTAATCGTATCGTAACTTACCTACTTTACTTATATTCAGTGACCGTTATTTTGCTTGTTATTCATTGATCATATTATACTGTCCGGTCAGTCAGTCAGTCAGTCAGCTGCAACGTAGGACCAGGCACGTATATGCATCGGTCCAAGTTGCCATACCGCATTAGCACAACAAGATGAACACCGGATTCATAGGAGTAGTTAATTCAGTGGTGGTAATATATAGAAGAGTGTGTATAAGGATATAGTACAGGAAGAAAGAATTAGTTCCTAGAAAGAAAGATTTGAAATGATTTTAATCTCTTAGTTTATAGGAAGACAGAGAGTGTATACACCGACACCACTGTGATCGATTCTGAGCCATGTCACCAAGAGTCTCCAACCATTGGTTACGATAGTCACGCGGACCCCAACCAGGCAGTCTGAATCTCCCAACATGGCTCAGACCAGAAGTTAGTGACTTCAAGCACTGATGCCACGTTTTGGTTTGGCCGCCCGTAATACTGTCCGGTATCAATTTACTATCGATCACTGAGTTAAGTTTTTCAGAGAGAAAATGTTTTCTAAAATGGAGATTCGGAATCTTTTTAGCTTCAGTGTTATTGCGCTTATGAAAGTAAACTTAGGAATGTTAACATCTCTTTCACGTTTAAAACGCCAATGCATATGTAGTTTTCCTGTCAAGGTATTGCTAGTACGGTTGGTTATTATAAATGCAGTGCGGTGACTGCTCATCATAGGTTTGTTGTGAAGATGTAGTTTATTGTTAGTACACCGACCCGAATGGACTTTTCTAACAAATTCCTGTCCGGGCAAAATTTACCAACAGCTCTATGGGGTGCTGTGTCCTTAACTGATATACTTCAGGAAGGCATATTTTTTATACGGTATGGTTTTATCCAAGCCAACATATTGTACGCAGGTGTAAGCAGCGCAGCATTGCTTTTAATTAATTTGGACTGATGAGATTAACATGTCTTTTTAACTTAGTTTTAAACTCAGTTCCAAATAATACTGCCTCTTGGCTAGCGTATTTGTCCAAGGACGTTGTCAGAATGACTCCAATAAAACGGCATTGTAGTTTGTTAGCTGAACCTACAATTAAAGTACCAATGGTGCCAACAGACGCAAGATTTAGGTACGAACTATGGATTTGTCACATAAGGCTGTGCCGTTAGGTCTAGGGTAGTTGTCCTCCGCCACCGCAAGGTTTATTCTGCTGTCTTGAAATAATTTACGATTCAAATTTAGGATTGTCAGTTTTTCCCTGCACTTTTAGCGCAAACTTGTGCTTTAAATCTTAATAATGGTTATCGTTCATAATACATATTATTGTGCAATCGCGGTTCTTCATAACACGTCTTAAAATTTACATCTGAAAGGTTATTAGTGGCAGCTAGCTACATGATACACTGCCGTTCATTGTTTCATAATTGGAAAGACCTACGAATGTTGCTTTTGGCTCATCTTATATTAGGTTTAACTAGTGAGTTGAAACTCACCTCTATCAGGCGGGAACAACACGTAGGTGTCGTTGCTTTCCATTGGTGTCTAGTCTAATCGGTTTGCAGCCATGAATCATGATGTATACCCTACCCTGACCGTCACTGCTACCTTGACGTGTTGGTCGGGCTTGCCTGTCGTGATGAACTAGTTGAGCTGTACTAGTTAAGACAATCGTTCCTTAAATGTTTTACCATGCCAGACACGGCTAAAGAGCAGTAAAACTAAAAGCAGCAAACCCAAGGTTCGCGGGCAGAGTCGTACTGCTGATTGTACGGAGGTGTAATGACAGTACGTCGTTTCCTTTAGGGAACCAGCATAACGGAGATGTTCCCTTTACACAAAGGAAAGGTGGAGTTAGAAAGGGTCCACTCTAAGATTGTACGCCTCCTATCTCCGGTTGTAGGGTCCCAATGAGCACGAAGCTAGCAGGAAAATTACCCACTAAATATTCGTATATGACCGACCTCATGTAGTTGCTCCTTGGTGCTGCGGTCACGTTCTCAAGTCACTAAGACCAATTTCATTCAAAGGTACGCGTAGAAAGACTTTTCCATGATGTGGGCAGCTGAATTGTGGAAACCCACCTCATACGTTTAACAGCACCCAAGATCACTGCTGCAGCTGAAGCACCCTCCCATAGATCGGGAATGACTGCGGATAGGTTTTGCACGACAATCGTCTGTATCGCAGTTGATGTACGAGTGTCAGGATAGTTTTTGGTTAACAGTGTTATATCTTCAAACCATCCGTGTTTGGGACCCTAGCTGGTGTTTGTGATGCTTCTATGTACCGATTAATCCTTGCGCGCCTATACTCAGGCAAGTTGTGTGTTGACGTACTGAGCATAGTTGGGTTAATACACACTGGCGCAACGAGGTGTAATAATGAGGTAATTGTATGCTGCTCATGTGACGGTGTGATTGCTTGTCTCATTCTACGTATGATCCCTGGCAACTACCACTTCATCCCTATCATTTCATTGTAAATATATGTCGGGAAGGTATGACGTTAAGCCTGACGTTTTTAATCTTTCGATGATATGAAAGTAGTAGTCTATGACTAAGGTGAGTAGCAGAAATGCCGTGGAAATAAGGTACGTTAATAGAAACTGCAAAGCTTTGGAATCGACGCTAGTCAAAGTTACGTTATGGTATATCCAATCAAGAAAGGCATATCATTAGACCTAGTTTTCATATTACTATCGTAACGCTATCACTGCTTAACGGCAATTGTACTGATTGAAACCGACTCCAATAGGGCTTGTGATCTGGATCTCAATGTTGTTTTCCGCCCTTCCTCCATGGATATGTTCATTTGATAATGTAGAAGTGTGCCGTTATTCTTTGAGCGTTCGGTAAACTCTACTTCTGGTTCTCTAAAAAACTACTAGGTTGGTGTGCTTTTTCTCGTTACTTACCAATATTTTCGCTCGAATCTTACTAGATTATGAGGGACTCTCTGTAATTGTGTACTAGTTTGTATGTTGCTTTGGTTGTTCATTTGGTAATCTGAGATTTTGAGTAACATGGCTTGAAAACGATCGCACTGGCGCAGTTACATGCATTCTCGATCTTCAAATCATGAGTAAGCATCATTCTCATATTTCCGCCTTTCAACCGCATTCGTTTCTTTATAACTGTTAAATGCTTTGATACTCACTGCTTTCGATTTTATTCTATACTCCTTGTTCTGTTGACTGCCTCTTATGATAGTGATTTGAAGTATGATAAACTGGACAAATCTTGACGCTTTGCTGGTCCTACGTTAGTAATGACATGGGTACGTTTGTTATTGTCGAACCTCAGAAATATTCACATCATAACCCAGTGTCCTTAGGAGTTCTTGTCCGATAACCCTCAAATTAAAATACCTAAATAGTGTTTAAGTTGATAGGAAAGGAAGATGAATAATTCCAGATGTGTTAACTCAATGATCCTGTCTATTTTAATGTTAAAATTCTAAATGAATATAGATTTTCTTTGAATTGTTGTCAGGTTTACTTGATATGAACTTTTGACACCGTTTAAACGTCTTGATCATCAGAGTGATGGATTAGGGATAAATACTTTTTAAAAAATTCATCATAGTACTATAAACTATGTTGTATCAGTGCCTTTGCGAAGTTACGGTTTCATTTATCACTACTAAATTTAGTGAATATTATATTTAACAGTTATATAACCCCATCAAACTTAGTTATTTGGATTGTTAAACTATTTAGGAACTTTTAATTTAGGTAATACCATGTAGCTGAATCTATAAAAAATATAGATTATAAATACATTTTTTGGGATTATTTTTAAAATAAGAACATTTTAACTTCAACTATATTGTCAATTTAAATATATATATATATATATATATATATATATATATATATATATTCTAAAATAAACAAAATGCAGTTCACGACGATCCTGTGGAATCTCCAAATTTAGTTAGTTCGAATATGTCAACAAACTTAACACCGTCATCATTACGTACGTCAGATCTCGGAAATTCAGAATTAACTAATAACTTGCCAAATACTACATCAATGTCAAATGCTGAGTTAGATCTAAGAGATCTTGGGAAACAATTATTAATTGGTGTTATACGTGAGGTGGGTGTGTGGGATACTATAATTGTGCTTATATAGGGTTTTGTTGTAAATGGTATTTGTTTATTCTCTCAAGAATTCTTGTTCTATCTAACAAGTTCACCAGGATTCTAGAATCCTACCTATTATTTTAATTCGCAACTGTCGTTCGGTGGTTTAGTCACGCGACTTGGTAGATCTAAAATAATGCAGTAATTGTGAATCACAATCGGCTAAGCAATATTTTTTGTACATTTGTCTTAAAGTGAGTTCAATTTAAGCATCGAGTAACATGGTTTTTGAACATACAGTACATAAATACGCTAGCAGTATTATCGCATTGCTGTGACATTTGGAAACCGCTGGGTGGGTAATGTTTAATTACAATCCAAGGCATGGTATCATTCCATGAAATCGTTGATCAGTAGGTGCAAACTTCCTAGTTAGTTTCTACGTGATTATCGTAATGAATGGAGAAGTGTCGTGATATGGTTCAAAATCAGTCTCATTGACCCGATTTTTTACACTATTTGTCTTAAGTTTCAAGTTCTTTTTGTACGTATTTTATCCCACTAATTCATTCCTTCTACTCGAACTGTAATATCTATGTGTAATCCTTATTCACTATCTTAGATGATATTATTACTTCGACTTTTTTGCTGCAAATTTTGTTAATTTCATCTCGTTATTTGGCCCTGTGGCAATTGGAGTCTGATGTTACTTTGTTTACGACTAGTTGATTGATTAAAGTACCATGTAATGCACCATATATCATAGTGTGTCAAAATAACTGAAATACAAAATAATAAACATATTAAAAATAAAACCATATTCTCGAAGAGAGAAATAGTCGAATAAACTATATTCACAAAACCCTCTTCAATATAATTAGGGGATGAAATGTCCCTACACCGGTAGGGGGCTCTTGTCATTCAACTAATAAACATATACGAAGACTAAGATTCATAGTATTTATTGTTCGTTTATCGTGTTATTATATGGGAATTTCAGTGATACATAATGTAACACGTCTTTAGTATATCGTAAAGTATCATGAATTTAATATCTGTTAGTTTCGGACTTTGCTGTGATTAATTACCACTAATAACAAATAGCTATCCATTACTTGTTGTTACAAGATAATGAATTGATGGATCAGTCTATGCTGGTATAAACCGTTAATTGATAGCTCATAAATTTTTACCGAATGAATAATAAAGGGTTTCCGACAGAATCAACCCTGGGTAAGTGCTGATGAGTATTTATAATAGATGCATTAATAACATTTTTGAAAGCCAAAACACTTATTACCAAATAAGTTAGCAGTGTGCTGATCTTTACTGCGCTTTTTAGGTTAATCAAAGACAACATACTATTTTTGTGTGTTGTTCAAACTGAACATGAATTGTCATTGTTATGATTAAAAACATCAATTTCAAGGTTTCATGTTGATGAATACCTCAAGCAGCTGTCCCTTGGGCACTGCGGTCACGCTCTCAGGTCATTATGACCACCTCTAATCCAATTTCCTTTTCAGGTACCTCTAGCAGAACCCTTCCACGGTGTGGGCAACTGGGAAGTGATAACCGCCCTCATACCTCTAACAGCACTCAAGACCACTGTGTTCATAATCAACCTCCCTCTTCAATTCCTATTATTCCTCTTACATCGACTTTCAAATCTAAACTCCCTCTTTTGGCTTCCTCCTCAAGTGTCACCACAGCCAACGATTCTAGTGCGCAAAACACTGTCCTAGGTCTACTGAAACCTCGCTCCAAACTACACATTGGAGCCTTCAACGCACGCACACTATACCAAATCGTTCAGCAGGCTTCCTTGGCTAAAACCTTAGAATCTCGTACGATTGATGTATGCTGTGTCTCCGAAACACATACAGGATCCTAGCGTGGTCATTCACTTGACCTCACCTCGGCAAAACGGAGTGCCGACGATATACACCCTCCGTGTATCTGGCGACCCGATGGCTCGTGGACTGGCAGGTGTAGGCATAGCACTAAGCATGAGAGCGGAACAAGCGCTATTAGAGTGGATCCCCGTTAACAGTCGTCTATGCGCTGTTCGGCTAAACGGCTCCGTAAGAACTCGAAAGGATAGGGACACACGTCGTTGCCTTTTCGACGTTTCTGCCTACGCTCCCACTGACTGCAGTTCTGATGAAGTGAAAGATGAATTTTACAGAAAGCTGTCTGAACTTCTTCAGAAAGCTAAACGTTCAGACATAGTACTCGTAGCAGGCGACTTTAATGCCCAGGTAGGTAGCTTAAACGAAACAGAAAGACATTTAGGTGGGTATTTTAGTATTCCGGCACAGAGAACAGATAATGGTGATCGTCTGCTGCAACTTTGCCCAGACAATCGTTTATTTCTAGCAAACACAAATTTTAAGCATAAGGAGAGACATCGTCTAACATGGCGACCCCCTGCACCAAACCAACGATGGACTCAAATAGACCATATTGCCATCAGTCATCGTTGGAGAGGGTCGGTAGAAGATTGTCGCTCATTCTGGAGTACCTGCTTGGACTCTGATCATGCCCTAGTACGAGCACGCATCTGCTCGCGCCTCACTGGACGCAAAAGAGCCACACAAAACGACTCATTATAACCGAATTGAGTAATGAGAAAGCCAAAAGTAGGTTCCAGGAACAACTGAGGTCACACTTAGGTAGTTCTGAAAACGAGGCTGACCCAGATGTTGCTTGGAAAGATATACAATCAGCTGTGGAAACAGCATTGACATCTACCAGTGAGTTAAACAACAGGGTTACAAAGAACCAATGGATTTCGTCAAGGTCTATTGCACTGATAGATTCTCGTAAACTCATCCCATCAGGTTCTGAACACGATGAAGAGCGTAAAGAAATCAGATCTAGGTTAAGCAAAAGTCTAAGGAACGACCGTGAGCAGTGGTGGGCAACGAAAGCAAAAGAGATGGAAAAGGCGGCGGCTATAGTGAACACAAGACAACTCTACAGACTAATAAAAGAAACTGGAATTAATAAATCAAGTGTAAGTCAGACTATTTCGAAAAAGACGACACTCTCATCTGCTCCCAGTCCAGACGTTTAGAACGATGGGCGGAACATTTTAAGGAGCAATTCAGTTGGCCTTCAGCTAATCTACAACTACCCTCTATTCCCAGACAGTATGAATGGAACATTGAAGTAGGTCCCCCAACTCTAGCTGAAGTTCAAAAGGCTATAGCTAATCTGAAACGAGGAAGGGCAGCTGGTCCAGATGGATTGGCCCCAGAGGTCTTTAAGGATGGTGGTCTAGTTTTAGCGATTAGGTTGACTAATATTTTAGCTAAATTCTGGGAGTTAGACGTCATCCCATCTAACTGGTCACAATCACTTATCGTTCCAATATTTAAGAAAGGGTCAAAATCATCCTGTGACAACCACAGAGGGATTAGTTTAACGAACATAATATCTAATTTTCGGACGCCTAACTAAGACTTGTGAACTGCAAACACGTGAAAATCAGGCTGGCTTCAGACCTGGTCGTGGCTGCATCGACCACATATTCACCATTCGTCAGGTTCTAGAACACAGGCATACTTATCGGCATCCGACAATAGTGGTCTTCCTTGACTTAAAAGCAGCGTTTGACTCTGTTGACTGAGAGGTTCTGTGGCAGTGTCTGTCATTGAAAGGCGTACCTCAGAAGTACATAAACCTTGTGAAGGCTCTTTACTCGAACACTACTAGTCGAGTCAGAGCTCATGGCGAACTGTCATCTGCTTTTGCAACCTCAAGTGGCGTCCGTCAAGGCTGTCCACTTTCTCCTTTTTTGTTTAACTTCATCATAGATCTACTGATGGAAATAACGCTCTCATCGACTGAATTCTCGGGTATTGATCTCGTACCAGGAGGTCCACTTATTGACTTAGAATACGCAGATGACATGGTCCTGTTTGGTGGAGACGATGATGAAATGCAGTCTTTTGGTAGCACTGAGCAACAATGCCATATATTCGTAAATTACTAGTATTTGACCACAGGTGCCTTAGAAATATTGCGAGTATCTGCTGGGATCACCGGGTAGGTAATAGTGAGGTTAGACGCAGGGTATTAGGGAATGATGGTAAATCAGTTGATGAGGTTATGAATCTTCATCGACTGAGATGGTTGGGCCACGTGCTGCGTATGCCTGAACACCGATTACCACGACGCGCAATGCTAACCGGTGTTAGGGATAATTGGAAGAAAGTTAGGGGCGGCCAAACCAAAACGTGGCATCAGTGCTTGAAGTCACTAACTTCTGGTCTGAGCCATGTTGGTAGATGCAGACTCCCTGGTTGGGCTCCGCGTGACTATCGTAACCAATGGTTGGAGACTCTTGGTGACAAGGCTCAGAATCGATCACAATGGTGTCGGTGTATACACACTCTGTCTTCCTATAAACTAAGAGATTAAAATCATTTCAAATCTTTCTTTCTAGGAACTAATTCTTTTCTTCCTGTACTATATCCTTATACACACTCTTTCTTCTATATATTACCACCACTGAATTAACTACTTCTATGAATCCTGTGTTCATCTTGTTGTGCTAATGCGGTATGGCAACTTGGACCGATGCATATACGTGCCTGGTCCTACGTTGCAGCTGACTCACTGACTGGCAATTTAAATACACTTGTCCTTCATAACTATACCAGTAAGTTGCTCTAAACAATCCACAGTCATTTATCTTGCTGCATTAATCAGCACGTAGTTGTTTCTTACTTAGTGATTTAAATTAGGGATTGGTCGGCAATGATAATTATTGTAAGAATTTACAGGCTGACCAAATCTTTTCCAATGCAAGCGTAAAATGTACCTTATTTTGTTTGTGTTAAGATTTTTTAGTTACATAGAAAAAATTGAGCATGGTAGTATTTTTAGATCAATCCCAGCAAAATATAAGTGCCTTCGGAAGATTGATCAATAGTAATATCTGTATCAATTTTCGGAAGCGTCATTTTAGGGGATAATAAAACAGACAACATCATGAAATTCTACAATTTGGCTTAAAAGTATGTCCAAAAAGCCTAATTGACCATTACTTTCTGCTTCATGTGTCATCATCGAAGGGATGATGGCACTATTAGACGGTCAGTGTATAGGAAACCT